CCAGACTAGATGTTGTGGTATCTATAATCAAGATTATGCAGTGGTGGCACTAGCTGGTGTCAGTGTTTGTAAAAGGATAAATGAGAGTCTCAATAAAATTGGGGAAGTTCTTGGTGGCGGAGGTGGTTTTTACCTATGAAAGTTTTGTCTCAAATGTTAACAAAGCTGTTGAAAGTGTGTCACCTTCGAGCATGTATTTTTCGCTGACTCCTACACCATGGCTCCTTTACATTGGATTTATCTGCATCCCCTTCACCGAGATGGGCGTTTTCAAACTCCGCATGTCCATCTCTGGGGTTCTTTTGAGGCACTGCAGCGCATGCCATCGCAGCAGCGGCCACAGCGGCAACTCTGGAGAGCGTGGAAGACCAGAAGGCATCGCCACTGCCACCACCACTAGCGGAGACGGAAGTAGGTACAGGAGTGGAATTTAGGCTAGGAGTGGAACCCTCATGGCAGGCATTTTCGGCCTCCCATTTGGACGATGCGCCGTCTGCAGTCCCACCGCTGCAAGGGAAACTGAGACTCTCAAGGTGGGTAGGATCAGCAGTGGACAGATGGGTTTGCTGGACATCCTCTTTGCAAAAGAACCCACGGTGGCTGTTATGGTTATGGTGAAAGTGATGGTGCTCCTGCAGAGAGGCTGGTAGAGACGGGGGAGGCGAGTTTCGACACCAAGAGGAGGGCTGCCACCTCTCCGAGCTACTGAACGATGCTGTATGGAAGGTCTCGTGCTCTGGCAACTTGTATGGCAGCATTTGTGAAGGAAATCTTCCAACGGTAGTCTTTAAATGCAAAATAACACAAGTGAAGCTTAATTTTGGGCTCCTTACTGTGGTACGAATAAGATTTTACTTTTACTACATCGCTGCAACCTGAAGGCTTCCCAAACTAACGGCTTCTCTATAAGGAGAGAAATTGCCTTCGAAAAAAATTATACTTTTTATAAGAAAATAGGAGTGATTATCTCCTTTCAAAAGGTAAACTGGAATTAGCATGCATCGTAAGTTGATCAAATTTAACGTGTAGTCACTAGTTTAGTCATAATTAGTAGACTTTGAATGCAGTTCCGAAATCAAATGCGGATTAGGTCTGTGGCTAGCAGATCGAAATTTGTTGATGAGGCAGTAATTATTGGTTTGCTACTCTAGTAGATCATTACTTCTTCCTCTGAAAATACGTGTGTATTTGTGTGTGCGCGAAATGGAATTTTTGGACAAATGCACCTGCGTATGTCAGCCAGAAATCCTGTTAATATAAATTTCCGACACGCACACACACACACACACCACCCAGAAACACACGCACACTCTTGCGCGCATTCAGAAAGTTGTTACCCAGACACCCGTATGCACGCAATCGCACATACATTCGAGAGTGAAAGGGAAGTAGAAGGCGCGGTATCCTGTCATTTATCACGTCGGATTCAATGACTATTTAGCAGTGCCCTCGCGACTGCAGGGGCAGAGTGAAGGAGGAATGGGACGCTGTGGGGGTGGGAATTTTGCTGCTATCCCGGCAGACCCCTTTCGCTTCCCCCACCCCTCCTCTTCCCAGTTGCCCACGTGTCCGTGCCGCCACCAACAGGTGACTAACACTACTCTCTCCCCTCTCCGTCACTGCGGGCCTAGCAGGTGTAGGCAGGAGGAGCTGCCTCCTCTTCTTAAAACTTCATCTAATCTCTCAGGCCCACACCATCTTACCAGTTACCAGTCGCTTTTAGCTAGTCCATTGAGATCGACATGTTAAGAGCAATTTAAGACCTTCCCCGAATCGTAGTCACCTAAAATTATTATATTTTTCTAATTTTGAAGAATTAGCGTGCACAACCCGCATGGTGTGGTGTAGGTGGTTATTAATAGCACTTATCAACAGAAAAATTACTACTGAAGTTAGTTATGCCCGGCAAAGCTTTTCTTTATCCAAGTTAATTCACTGTTAAATAGGACTTCATAAAAAACGGCAAACTGAGCCCACATCGGTTGCAAATTGTCACGAAGTTTACGAAGATGATTATATTTGCATTGGAGCCACAAAAAGAATTAAAAATATGTAACTCATCTTTCTCCGCTTTAGCTTGCAATTTATTTATATGCCCATTTCTCTCAATCGGGTACCTCTACAATGTCTGCACGGCCATCTCATCGGCACAGTTGTTACCAAATGCAAATGTAAACTTGCAAACACTTTCATTCAAGTGTAACAACAACTCTACACCACTCTCATAATGCTTATCAAAACTTAACATGCTCTTGTTCTTTTACTAATTCCCCTGCAAGGATGCTCACTCGCGTGTGACAATTGTGGGCACCTTTTAGTTCCCGTTGATCTGACCCTTTGATGGCTTGCACTTTTGTTACTTGATCAGATTGTCAGAGCACTGCTAGGCAGCTGAAAGTGAGGATTTTAACGGAGAAGAATTCACGTGAGGCATCATACCACCCGCCCACGGACAACTGGAGAGAAGTCAAGTCTGACCCTCACTCTTTGTGTGCAGATGTAGATAAGCAATACACACTCACACTCACACACCCACACGGTCAAATTGCCTGCTCGGGGGCTGCGATTTCCTTGTGTGAATGCTGACATTTAGGTCTGACACCCCACCAGAGTTAGCCCAAATTGTGGAATGTTTCCTTAAGCAAAAGGAGCAAACAAATGGTGAAAAACATGGCGGTGCATGCAAATAAGCGAAGCATGAACGTAGTGCAGCGAAGAGGCCAAATATTTTGCAAAGTTTTGTTAAGTATTCCCATTGTGACAATGTATTGTTTGGCAAAGTAAAACCAAATTAGCAGTTAGTGGGTCTCAAAGCCTGGTATGCGTGCTGGTCCACCTTCAATGTAGGCGTGGATGACTAGAACGGAGTACTAGGTCGTCTACGAGTTTCCCATTTCCCATTTCCTTATCCAGTTCACTCTGTTCAAAATATTGAAATGCTTTTGCGCTTAATTTAATTGATGGCCTCTTACGGACTTGAGGTATGAGGGCTCCTACAAACTAATCCTTCTGCGAAAATTGTGGGAAATTCTAAAAAGCATTATTTTAAATTCTGCAAACTTATCAATTGTAATTTGAATGCACAATGTCTGAAAAGCGTCGCTGATGTAAGTTAATTTGGAATACAAAAGTGGAAACATACATTAGACAGCAGCATGGTTCCGTAAATTCTAGTATTAGGTGAAGTAGGAAGGGAATCTTTTGCCTCCGCTTTTCTTTCAATAAACACGATTATTAATTACGAAATATGAATAAGCCTGTGACATTTACCTTTGAAAGCCACTGCAAAGGATTGTCGCCATAACCCATATTACTTAATAGACTGCAAGGCACTATTAATCACCCACTTGACTGAGGTAGCCAGGCAGCCACCAAGATTGGCATCCGCTTAAATCCACCATAATGCCTTCATCTTCTTGACTCAACAATTTGAAGTAAGTTGGAAAAATCTCGAGAGTTGACCCCGCTGCTTACAGCTTGTCAAAATGTTCGCTGCTGTGCTGCCTCTCCTCGTCTTCCCATTTGTTAAGTCTATTCACGTTGTTTAAGGTCTCAGCTACTTCTGGTAACTTTACTGCCTTCCTTATGCTAGCACTTAATACTGCACCTTTTTATGGAATTTGGTATTGATAGTTAATTACGCTTCCGGTATCCAAAGGCGCTCGTGCTGTCACCTTTGCTAACAGTTTCGACTCTCCTCATCGATGCTTCGAGAAAGGATCATTTTCCGGGAGCATGGCAACAAGGCATCTAATAGAAGCAATGACTTTAATGGGAAGAAGTAATTTTGAAATTCGCAAATGAGCCGCTTCCATTTCCGCGGTACAGTGTCCCAACATCGCTTACTTATCGCTAAATCTTCCATAAGCACTGCTGCATTGACGTAAGGACCTTCAGATTTTCTATTTTCTAAGCAAGTGACAAGGTATCGAAACACTTTAAAGCAAACATTTACCCTTCAGTGGCTGTAGAGTTGTATTTATTTTTAAAGTAAATGTTTATTTTGACACTGGGAGAAGTGATTTCGAGGATAGCCATTGCAATTTCATGAACCTTCCTAGTACCCGTGTCTAAAGTATATGACCACTTCTTATGACTTAAAGAAAGTTATTTTGGTAATTTGTCGGACAGAACATCAAGCATGGTAAAGTGTTACTAGAAGTTCAGAAGGCTCATGCTTTTACCACCGTGAACATATAGTCACATTGGAATTAAGTGTCTCTAAGTCCTGCGACTTCCGTTTTGTGGCCCATTCCTATTTGACTCCACCCATCACAAACAAACACAAATGGGTGTCTTTTGAGCAATGTGGAAAAGGGAATGCAAGCATGACAATGTGTACCTTTGATTCGAAAAAATTAGTTGGTGTACATTAGGATAAAGAAAGTCAAATTTAACGCTCTCTCACTCGGTAGTGCTTTTCGTGCAACCAGCCTATTGGTATTTTGTCTCTCCCGGACCTGCACTGTCGGTCTTCCTCAGGTCGCATTTTGGGATGCCAAATGGCGAAAGAAAGAGGAAGTGAGAACATCTTCCACAAGCACCACAGACGCCCTAGTACCGTTGAACACAAGACTCCTTTTAAAATTCAAGCTGGATTTTTGTGCTAAAAGTCTAACTTTGATGCTTCGCCTATTTGTACCCGTTGTTCCACCTCCTCATCGGGGCTTCATCATCATGCGGACGCCTTCTACGGTCAAACAAGAGTTAACCACTTCTTCACCGTTAGTGGTGTCCTGACGTCGAATGGACGAGGATGTCTCTATACCCATTACAAGTGTGCCCGTTTTACTGAAAATGACTCCGCACGGCATGAGTTGCATGAATGTGAACACTCCGCAGGGACTGAATGATGTTAAGCATCGTCGGCTTTAAGAATGAATGCTTTAAAGAAACGGGCAACCAATTCCACCGTCTCCAATGCGTTGTATGGTAAATGAAATGCAAGAATCAAATCTTCGTTAATAATCTTTTGCATCATAAAAGAAAAAGTTATTCGAAGTCAAATGTTGTTCACGTTCATTTCCAGTTAGTGATTGGGACCAAGTGCGATCATACTTAAACGAGATTGTGGATTTGGTGACCTTTTGGAGATTTGTCTGCCCATATTTATGAAGTAAATCGGAGAAAAGGCGGGCCGGTTGAAAAAGACGCATGCACTATGCCTGTCTCCTTCCCGACCGGTAGAGTTTTTGCTTCGTTCACATAAGTTGATGCGGATGACGAACAAGGTAAAAACCCATTTTGCTGAAAAACTGCAATAATGCACCACCCCACGCTACTTCCTAATCAAACTGACATGACTGGTGACATTCAGCATTGGCATCACAAAACAATTCGATGACAAACTGCTAATTTGATGTCTTAGTGATCTCGGCTACGAATCTGCCTCATGCCTATACATTGAACGTGAAAAAAGTGTATGGAATGTTAATTTTGCTAGGGTTTTGTTGATATGATAAAATAACTTAAAAGAGGAAACACCATTTCCAACCTAAAATCAATTAGAAATATGCAAAGTGATTTAAAAATTGTAGTAGAAGCACGGAAAGGAGGTGCAGTGTTTCGGGTCTGAAGAGATGACTGCACTTTTTCCCTGATCGAGTTACAACTGAAGCAACACCTTTGGAAAGTCTTTCCTTTTCTTTATAAAATGCTGTGAGCAAAGGGAGATTGAACTCACTTACGGTTGCTGACTTAAAAGGAAGTGCTAAATCGTGAATTTCATATGCTCTTGAAGTTGTAGCTAAAGCGGTAACATTAGGCGGCTAAACCCGGAAAGCAATCAACCAGCAAGACAATTCCATAAAACCATCTTATGGTTTGTGGACGACAAGTAAGCAAGAAGTGAATTAAACTATGAATCGCAACTCCCATGCTTACTTGTTCATATGTAAGTAGAAAGAGGGGAAAGATCCCATATAAATCACTTTCCCATGCATAAAAGTAGTTTTTCAATCATGACTTCGATTACTTGATAGTAGATACAGTAAAGTCCATGGGTTTGAAAGGAAAAAGACAACCGAGAAGCACACTGACCCGCTTCCAAAGAACTTCTCGGTGGGGAACAGTGAAGATGACGAAGAAGGCGGAGGAGGAGCAGGACGAGGAGGAGGTAGTAGAAGAGAAGAAGAAGGAGAAGATGATGAAGAAGAAGGGAGAGAAGAATACGAAGGCAAAATCGCTTTTTTATAAGGTGTCACACCACATTTGTGATGCAGCTAGACTGCAGGTGTGTGCGTGTACGTGTAGCGGAAAGCGTGGTGTTTGCGACGATGTGCTGTGGGCGTGATTAAGAGAAGAAGCCCTCGCATCAGCGCGCTGGTGCGTGCGCACACGAAGGCCTCCTTGCCTCCCCTACCGTGACTCTCCTTTCTCCTCTCCCCCTCTCCGCACCCCACGTAGGCATGATTAAGAGGGGAATCGCTTGTGTCTGTGTGCTGTTGCTACTATTGCTGATGATGTTGGTGCTGCTGCCGCTAGCGCTGCTACTACTGTTGTTGCTGCCTATGCGACTACTGCTACTACCACTACCAGCTAATTATATTTTTTTGCACTTGCCAACTACATTGCAGTAACTGGGCTTTAATTCACACACACTCGTGGATTTGCACGCACATACACCCTGGGGTGGACACATCGATTGATTTGAGGTAGCCTTAAATTTTTAATTACCCACTTGTAAAAAGGCGCTGTCAACTGCCAATTGCATCATTGAACCTAGATCAGAGAAAAATCTTCCAATAACCCCTCGTAATAAATAGTTTTGTGGTTGGCATACGAAATTCGGCCTACTGAGCATCGAAGAAATTCACTCAGATGACGCTCAAGAAATCCTTCACTCCAAATAATGGCTTCTATCACATGATTCGCACTTTGTCGTTTCGCTAAAAAGGTAACATTTGAACAACAAAAAGGTCAAGAAGCGATTAAGTCACCGGACAGAACTCCAGACCGTTTGTGTATGTAAGTTATTAAACAGAGGGCAGTGAACGCTTGTCGCATTATTTATTCATGGTAGGTTTAGGACTGATTTAGTGGCGACAGCGCAAGCAAAGCAAGTTCAAATTCAAAATTTCCAAAAAAAATGTAATTAAACATGAATAGCTACTCGGTAAGGTCAGAGCTAATGTATGACAAGGAATGTAACACTCATTTGGTAGCAGTTATGAGACCACCATTTCTGATGACCCTTGATGCAGATTAGTAGGGCGGTAAGTCTAACCGATTAAAACCGACTGTTTATAAATTTCATGTATTCATTCCGTAACGTGGTAAAATGCAAAGAGAATGAGTCCATAATTCTTGAGTCCCTTGTACAAAGTGCGCGTCCAAATGCTCACGAAGTTTCCGGTCCTACACTTGGCGCTGTGCTGAAAATGCAGCCTTTTCTTACTTATGCAATAAATTTGCTACTGTTACAGCTGAAGCGTGGAGGTCAACGCCCTTCAGCACAAACTCTAGTGGAGGTTAGTAAGTGACGGCAAAATCGTGGGAAAATGGTTTTGTACTTCAAACTCCTCAGCTTTTATTCCTAAACTTGTCATATTATCATACCGACTAATTCGATGCTGGGATCTTGGTTCGATGGATTTATGATGTAAAGCCCCAAAGGAACCAATTGCAAGTGTAACAACCACGAAACAGAAATTTTCCGGTTCCATTCAATTCGAACCGTAAATTAAGGGCCAACAGCAGGTGAATGCAGAAGCTACTGTCGGCCGTTTCATAATAACACTTTCGGTTTCCATAGTCGCGATTAGCAACGCACATGAAATTACTTCCTAGAACAACGTGTATTTGAAATGAGGCGGTCGAACGGCCCATGCATTCATTTTCATCTCTAACAGATGACGTTCAATGCGTCCATTGGATTAATGACGAAGTAAAGGAAAGGCCATGAAACATTTATCCAACGGTTTAAAAGTGCTGAACTTAAAACGCCACAACAATCGTCAGTGGGAGCCGGTAAACTGCTATTTGCTTGGCAGAGTTTTAAAGCACTGAACGACACCAACCCGTATCGAAGTAAAGTCTTTGGGTTTCTGAATTTTTATTTGCATCCATTTGCTCCCACAGGTCCAAGACAAGCCTTCAATTCGATAGTGATTTTAAGCTCATAACAGAGAAAGTTAATGACCAATGCAATAACGCAATCACTAGTGATGAATTGAAAACCCTTTTTCCAAGAACTACGTCTCTTTGAGCATAATTTGAACAAAAAGCGGGTAGTTTTGTTAAGTTAAAATCGTCCTACAACTCTTCAAGTGAATGAAGTTGAAAAAATAATCCTAAGAGTCACTGTACACCACCGCAGGCCACAACATTATTGAATTTAAGTGTAGCGTTTTGCGGGCTAATAGCGTCGAAGGTCCAACAGCAATCGCGGTGCAATGACATCCAACTGTGCGCTGATCCGTCCCGTTGCCACACAACCGACGCTTGCCAATAACTACGAGCGAGTCTGCAGCTCGTCTGTCCATTCTAATTTACATAATGTCTGTTTGATTGACAGAAGAAAGTAGAGCAAAAGGAGGATCTAATTTTGGAATACATTAATCGGACAGTGGAGTTCGAAGATAGAAAGTAAGGCAGTTGTTAAGTTTACCCTTCCAGTATTGTGTGGCCTAAAATAAACACTTAATTGACTTTGCAAGCGAATACGCCCTGTAGAACTGCGAGTTAGAAGCTGTCACAATTTGAGTACTTTCTCTGTCAAGCTAAAATAACGGACACGCATTCCCATGTTGATGGCAACGTACAAAGTTTGCGTGTATCGAGTGGACTCCGAAAGCACAAAGCCTCATGTGCAATATTATTTTCCACCAGTACTTTGCCACATCAATCCACGAATTGGGTTTTATGGGATGCGGAAGATTTGGTGAACTGCCATGCACACAACAACAAGGAATGTACAAGTTGTGAAAATATAAACCCTTGCCACTGCCAAGAATTCCTTCTGATTACCAGTGCTTCTTTAGTATGAAGTGGTGTTTATTAAGTTTTGCACAATCGTGTGTGTATGAGCATTCAAGTAAACCACTCTTAAATGGATCCATACGCAAATTAAGGGCATAAAGCACAGCCGTCCATGCGTATTGACTTCGTTTACACTAACGTTAAACTGTGATTGGTCGGAGGGGGCCATAACGCGCATTATTCCCTTTGGTGAATGAATGGGGCAGGGGATGCGATGAATTTCTTGTGAAGCAAGTCAACGAAATGTCATGTCTCAATAACTTCCTTCAGCATACTCTTTGGTCAGTTTCTGTACATCCATTGTGCGGAATTGAACAACCCACGGCTTCTTCCGTAGAGCTGTGAGCGCGATGGGAGCGTGAAAAAGTGTCATTTTCCAGATACTACTCCAGCCGATTATGATGGTAATCAGTAGGAGTAAATGCTTCGTCTTAACTTGGTTAGATTTTCGCCTGCTCCTCACAATGCATCAGTGACATCAAGGCTACTTGGGCTGATTGGGCATCTGACCCATTTTGTCAATGTTGCATTTAATGAAAAGTTGAAGAAAATAATTCAACGCATTGAAGTGGTCAAACCAATGTTACAAAAACCAACTCCTAGCATCTAATGCATATAGCATGGGAAATAGAAGCAAATTCTAAGTAAATTACTTCCGTCAATTACAAGTAGAGATTCGCTATTGTTTCCGTCTTCAATTTATTACAAAGTTATTTGCATCACATATTTTAATACATCAAAGACCCACGCAAAGGTCAAATACTGACATTTTGCACTGCACCATTGCTAATGCGTCCACAGTTTCAAATGCTGTTACTTGGTAATGCTCTGTACTCTGCACACTTATTCTTGCTTCTAAATGACAACAACGAGAGCTAAAAGGTGTTTGGCAGCAGTTCATGTAAAAGGGTCCCAAAATGAACAGATCATCATAAAATGACAAGGCTTACACTTACGGATTGCAGTGCAGATAGACCTGTAAATCCGGTAGTAGAATCTACTCCCCAGCCTATTCTCAACGCTTAACCGACCTTTTAGCGAATGTAGATCATCCACGAGAGGAGATAATGGGAATGTTCGGGGCACAAGTGGGCAATGCGGAATCGTACGTTGGGCACCAGCCAGAGCGGGAGATGCACGCACACGCGTGTGTTGCTGCGTGCAGGCAGTCTGAACGCCCATTGGTGGTCGGTAGGTGAAATGGGTGTGTTTTTGCGTGCGTGTGCGCGCAATTGTGCGACTGGCACTTTCCAAGCGCTGCACCGCAATGCAGCACAATACCGAGCGCACCGAACCCACGCCTTCACTTCCCATTGCCCCCTTTCGTGCGCTTTTACAGCATCGGCAAACAAAAAAGATCGGATTAATTTCTGGCTGAGCGCGCAGATTTGTGCAGGTGTGCCATTCACTGACACTCAATCGGTGCTGTCGGCATCTAGTAAAGGTGGCTCTGCCATCCGCATTCTTAGCGTTGGGGCTCCTCCCCGATTTCATTGCAA